TCATCCAATAAGCTAAGAATTTTTGTCCTAAAAAATACCAAAGCGCAGACAAATTACGCAGAAAATGCTGCATACAGGCTTTTTTTCTTGAAAACTGTCACATTTTGTGAGATGCCATAACACTGGATTAACACACACATAAATCCCAAATTGCTGTTCTGTTGTTTTTCAAACTGATAAGGAGAAAAAATTAAAAAGAAATCCTAAATACTTCAGTGGTCCTGGAATTAATGCAGTATTGAAACAGATGGCGAGTCACTTGCCAAAATTAATACGAAACATAATATTTAATGCATAGGGGTTGTTTTACCCTAAAAAGATGCAAGCACATCCTTTTTTTTTTGGCAGTGAAGACAAAGCCTATTGTCATAAAAAATCCCTTCCAAAACCTACAGCTAGGGTACGAGCAAGTGTAACTGCTGAAGGGAGGCAGTTGAGTCAACCACCTTCAACCACATCTTCAATTCTTCAACCCTTCAAGCAGACACTTGGGTAAAGGTATTTCTTCTTGAGCGAGAACAGTCACAGCACCCTGGAAGCTGCACAGCTTCTATGTTTCGGAGCAGACACGGATCCAGCCACACGCTGCAAAGAAATCCTGGCTAAACTGGGAAATGGGGTGGAAAGCAGAGCTAGACTGTTTTGGTCCCCAAAATAAGAGAATGCACAGATGGGTCTACTTAGATCTGCAGTAACTATTTGCCATGCAATGTTTTTGTTTGAATAAGCCTTCGCTTATTCTCTTTCCTATTAAGAACCATTTTAATTCAGGTTGTGCGTCGATTTACAAACCACCACACTCAACTATAAATTATCACGGACCAGTAAATTCACAACAGTCCATTTGAATTTCGCCAGAAACCAGGAAACTTCTGGCCACACAGACAATGAGCAAAGGATATTTGCCCTGGGACATTTTGTCAAGGAAAGACTTCCTAGCTGCAGGCAGTGTGACTGTGGTGCACCGTACAGGAGGACTGTTACTGCCCTGGGTACAGCCAGTGAGAGTCTGAAAAGTGGACATAGCTCAGCCAAAGGGTAGGAAATCCAGCTGGCGTCCAGTCACGAGTGGTGTCCCACAGGGCTTGGTACTGGGGCCAATTCTCTTTAACATCTTTATCAATGATCTGGACGAGGGGATCGAGTGCACCCTCAGCAAATTTGCAGATGACACTGAGCTGGGTGGCAGTGTCGACCTGCTGGAGGGTAGAGAGGCTCTGCAGAGGGATCTGGACAGGCTGGATCGATGGGCTGAGACCAACGGGATGAGGTTCAACAAGGCCAAGTGCTGGGTCCTGCCCTTGGGTCACACCAACCCCCTGCAGCGCTACAGGCTGGGGGCAGAGTGGCTGGAGCTGCCTGGCAGAAAAGGACCTGGGGGTGTTGGTGGCCTGTGGGCTGAACAGGAGCCAGCAGTGTGCCCAGGTGGCCAAGAAGGCCACCAGCATCCTGGCCTGTGTCAGGAACAGCGTGGGGAGTAGGGCCCGAGAGGTGATGGTCCCCCTGTACTGGGCACTGGTGAGGCCTCACCTCGAGGGCTGTGTCCAGTTTTGGGCCCCTCACCACAAAAAAGACCTTGAGGGGCTGGAGCGGGTCCAGAGAAGGGCAACAAAGATGGTGAGGGGTCTGGAGAACAAGTCTTATGAGGAGAGGCTGAGGGAGCTGGGGGTGTTCAGCCTGGAGAAGAGGAGGCTGAGGGGAGACCGTATTGCTCTCTCCAACTCCCTGAAAGGAGGGTGTAGAGAGGTGGGGGTCGGTCTCTTCTCCCAAGTCACAGGCGACAGGACAAGAGGAAATGGCCTCAAGTTACGCCAGGGGAGGTTCAGGCTGGATATTAGGAAAAAATTTTTCACCAAAAGGGTTCTCAGCCATTGGGATGGGCTGCCCAGGGAGGTGGTTGAGGCCCCATCCCTGGAGGTGTTCAAAAGACGGGTTGATGTAGTGCTGGGAGATAGGGTTTAGTGATGGTGATGCTCCTTGTTTGTTGTGTGGGTGTCTATTTTTGTCAGTGAGGTTGACGGTTGGACAAGATGATCTTTGAGGTCCCTTCCAACCCAGAAGATTCTGTGATTGTGTGATTCTGTAAAATCAGGGACTGAAGCTCAGCAGCTTTTTGTAGCAAAGTTAAAAGCACCAGTCACTTGGTAAGCCTGCTATCGGAAAAAAAACACTTCAATGCTTACACTGCTAAAGAAAGGAAAAGGGCAATACAGACTAGCAAAATGAGGAGAAAAGAATTTACTGTCCAGCTTACGCGCACATTATGCTTTTCACAATACACTTCATTTTCTTTGTCATTTTTGCTTTTTACCAACGTTCAAAGCTTTGTCTACACGGTGAGACTAAATCACCGCTGACAAATGGGTGCAGCCAAAGGCAATTCCCTGTGTCCACACTTGTAAGGAGAGACATGCCCTGCTCTGGTTCAGCTGCACCCCTCGTTGTCAGCAACTGTCATCAGCGGGGCGATTTAGTGCGCCAAGGAGAGCCCAAACCATTTGGAAAGAATGATTTAAGCTGAGTGGGTCCCACCCGGCTCCTCCAGAACACACACGCAGAACGGCCAATGCAAGAAAAACATTTAAAAATTATTAGGAAAACGAACAGTAAAAACCCACCAGATCTGGCAGAGGGATTGAAAGCATCTGAAGTTACTTAAGGGCTATGAGCAAAAAAAAAAAAAACCCCAACCCAACTCACTTGTCAGTTGTCCGAGTAACAGAGTCCCCCACTTCTCCTCCACTTGGTCAGAAGGGAGTCTGTGACAAAGAACCTAGTGACAATCTCAGTATCATCATTTTATTTAGATGAAAAAAAAAAAACAACATAAGCCTTATAACGTGGAAGAAAACATCAGCATAGCTGATTTGAAAAGGACTCTGCCACTTGCCCTGTCGAAGGCAAATCCAACTTATGCAAATTGCACTGGTGGAATCTACTATGACTTTAAATCATGTAGATATTCCCTCTCACACTTTAACAGCCAAAAAAATTACAATCTGCTCGGATTAATGCAGTACAGTGTCATTAGACTGGCAATTAAATCCCATTTCTGAGATTGTGTGATCTGAGTCACCAACATCTGCAAATATCTTTACATCTTGTGTAATAGCTGGCCTCAGATCTTGATACTCCAAAGTAAAAAGGCCTTTTTAATGGCTCCCACGTTATTTTGGACTTTTAAGCTGAGTGGGTCCCACCCGGCTCCTCCAGAACACACACGCAGAACGGCCAATGCAAGAAAAACATTTAAAAATTATTAGGAAAACGAACAGTAAAAACCCACCAGATCTGGCAGAGGGATTGAAAGCATCTGAAGTTACTTAAGGGCTATGAGCAAAAAAAAAAAAAACCCCAACCCAACTCACTTGTCAGTTGTCCGAGTAACAGAGTCCCCCACTTCTCCTCCACTTGGTCAGAAGGGAGTCTGTGACAAAGAACCTAGTGACAATCTCAGTATCATCATTTTATTTAGATGAAAAAAAAAAAAAAAAGCCTTATAATGTGGAAGAAAACATCAGCATAGCTGATTTGAAAAGGACTCTGCCACTTGCCCTGTCGAAGGCAAATCCAACTTATGCAAATTGCACTGGTGGAATCTACTATGACTTTAAATCATGTAGATATTCCCTCTCACACTTTAACAGCCAAAAAAATTACAATCTGCTCGGATTAATGCAGTACAGTGTCATTAGACTGGCAATTAAATCCCATTTCTGAGATTGTGTGATCTGAGTCACCAACATCTGCAAATATCTTTACATCTTGTGTAATAGCTGGCCTCAGATCTTGATACTCCAAAGTAAAAAGGCCTTTTTAATGGCTCCCACGTTATTTTGGACTTAAAACTTCATGATGACAGCAGCTTCTCAAAACAGCCAATGAATCAAATTTATTATCCAGTTTGTCATGTGGGATTTTCTTAACTCTAAGCCAATAGAGCAACAACAAATCACGGTCATTGTTTATATTGCATGAATCAAAATTAACCACCTGTTCAAAAATTTTTCTTTTGACATTAAAAAGTAGTCAGTCTCACAGACTTTTGACATACGAAGCATTTACCAGTTCTTCTACACATCTGGAAGTACAGAGAAAACACTCTCGAGTAGCATCTCCTCTCATGCCAGTCTGTCTTGACTTTAAAAAAAAAATAAAATCTGTCAGCCATCCGACTCCTTCCAGCATCAGTAGCTACGCAGGAGAAAGACAATCCAACTGCAGAATGCTCACCCCAGGAATTAATTTCCTTCCCAACAGGATCGTTGAATATTTAAGCAGATTAGTGATTTTCAAATGATGGTTTAGTGGTAAAAACAGCAGTGCCTGAAGATCTTTTTGCCATACAGATCAGAGGGACAGCATGCTATGGACTTTGAAAACACGTCTAGCTCTACAAATCCATTGAAGAAAGAATACTACATTCTCCAACCATAGAAGATAGTAAGGTAACCATTTCTTTCCTTAAATTAGAGCTTAACGATGAGGCATAGTAAAATGTGTGCTATACAGACCTAAATAAGGAATGTTAGTTTAAAAATTCCAGTCATAGAATCATAGAATGGTTTGGGTTGGAAGGGACCTTAAAGATCATCAAGATCAAGGCCCCCTGCCATGGGCAGGGCCACCTCCCACTACAGCAGGTTGCTCAAAGCCCCATCCAGCCCGGTCTTTAACACTTCCAGGGAGGGGGCAATCTTTTACTTCTTCAACAGTTGCTTGCAATACTTGCCATACCAGAGGGGCAGCCACTGTTTACAGCCAGCAATCCCAGGACGTAACCAACAACCACACCACCTACCAGTAACCACAACGAAAGCAGGGAAACTTTGCTTGAAGGATACACCCAACAAAGTTTCTCTACAGGGTTTACTTTGAAGTGGACTGCTGCAAGTGACTCAAGGTCATCTCCAGCAAGCACCTGCATTCAGAGCACGAGATGGCCAAGCCAATGCCCCGAGCCCTTCCCCACCAGAAACGGGCAGGCAGCAAGGCAGTACCTCCTTGATCCGCTTCACGAGCGCGTTCTGATCAAAGGCAACCGCTTCTGCACACTGGTGAAGATGATCTTGGTACCGGAGACACAGCTGCAGCACCTGCTGGGGATCCAGCTTTTCCAGTTTGGTGTTGGTTGGAGAGGTCTGCCCACTGAGGAGTCCTACAAGGCAAAGGAAGGACCAGAGTTAATCTGACCGTTCAATAAAACTAGTTCAGCCGCACGCCGAGAGGCAGCAGAACAGAGCCAGAAGAAAAGCTTTAAGGGGTAATGAAAAACTGATTCAGGGTCTTAGGCTACTAAGTGGACTTTAGCAATGTTAAAGGCTCAAAAGTGGGAAGGGCATGGATTGAAGATTTATGGATGTTTAGGAAAGAACAGTTTGCCATACAGCTTAGCCCTCCTTGATGAACGTGAACGCAGACTAAATGCAGGTCCATAGCACACAGCAGCTTGGTTTTCATCAACACGCTGTATATAGCGAGTCCTGGTTCTGCTCCTCCACAAACAATCCTAAACTGTGAAAAATGAACCCCCCTCCTCATTTACGTATGACGGAAGGGGAAGAAGTTGAGATCTGCATTCCCACATGGGCATGGAACTCAAGCAATTTTCACTAGAATGATGCTGTCAAAACCAGAGCTCTAAAAATTCACTGGTCCCCCAAAACGACCCCCCTAAGGTAAATTATTAGGGGTGAAATCTCCATGTTTTGCCTACCTTGCCTTTTTTAAAAGCTTCAGAATACTTTCATCTTCTAAGATTTTTTCTTTACATTCTCAAAGACCAGCAATATACTTCTTTTTATTTTTTCTTACTATGGAATTAAGATCCTTACCTACTCACATGACCAAGTTTCACAAAAAGCTCACAAAAAAACCCCCCAAAATTAAAATTGGGACACTGGTAATATCCAGAGGAGAAAAAATGTCCCGAGACATTTCTCCTGCCCGTTGTGTGTTGCCCACATAGCACAACTTGAGAACCTTTGCTGAGCTCAAGCATACGTGTGCCATACTGACCGCTTTCCCCAAAACTGCTGGAAAAAATGATGTTAAACTCTTAAGGCCACCCAGTTTTTGTCCATTCCACTTACTTACTTTCATTTCATTTTGCTTCAGCATTAGCACAACTTTTTTCTTGTTGGGACACCACGTGTGACAAATAGCACATACACACAATCTGCTTTTCCCAAAGCATCCATCAAGCTACGTAAACTGAATTCAGTGACTGCATGCATGTGCCCATAGGGACTCTCAGTTTACAGACAGGAAAAGACATTAAAACAGCAGATGTAAGCAAATATCACACTAAACAATTAAAAAGTAATAAATGCCAGTTATTTGGATTGGAAAAGTTCTTCTAAGAATGCACCTCAGTGGGAAATGGAAACTATTCTGGATGGCCCCCATGCCTATTGGAAGCTACAGCTGGTGACATCGAGTTCTTGCCAAAACACAAGAGCAAGATAGAAACCAAGACGTAAGTCAGAAGCATCTTATGAATTTAAGAAAGTTAAAACTCTTTGAAAACATTTGTAGACAGAAATGAAAACAAAACTATGACACTAACTTCATTGGGTATGACAAATGAGGTTTACTTCTCATCGACACTCAATGTTTTAATCTCTTAGGATGTTCTCAATTACCCTTCGCACAAAACCTTTCATTTGGGCTGACTTGTTGCCCACCACAAGTTGTGCTGCCTGAGTCAAGGTCAGGAGAGGAAACAGACACTTCAACATTTAGCCTCAAACCCCCATCAGCAATAGTGAAATTATTTGTTATGTTTTAGAAACAATCTCAAACAAAATCTTAGGTCCAGCAATAACAGTTGCAAACGTTTCAAGCCTACTTTCAGCCGATGTGCAAAACTTTCATGGGAGTAAACCCACTGAAAGAAATCAGGCTTTTTTAAAATGGATACATTACATGTTCTAGTGCCTCATCCTTAATTCTGATCTTCTGTAGAACTTATCTTGTCAGCATAAATGTTCGAGTAATGTTGGCAACTTTTAAGATGTTGAATGTTCACATCGGAATGAAGAGTTCACCATACACCCGAGGCGGTTATCCTGTTTCTGCACCCATCAAATGCATGATGCTATCAACCAACTACTTTTTTTTTTATTACTAATCTCTCACCAACTTCAAGAGGAGGAAGAAAATTAGACTCTATTTACGAGATTTAATTAACGTGAAGAGTGTATTTTGGCCAACTTACACTGCTTATGAGAATTTTGAAGCAGAATAGGCCAAGGACTGTAAAAGGAGCTATAAAGGAACATGCTACTCAAACTTATCTAATGTACTTACAACCTTGTACAGGTTACATAATGCTAAACGCAAAATTAATAAACTGTAAGGAGCCTCTAATTCACTATCCAGAAAAACATAAGCTCAATTGAAGGGAGACATTAACTGTTCAGCTGGAATTCCTTTAGAAGAAGGCAGAGGTGGAAATACAATCCTTCACAACTGTCTGGAGTAACAATAAAAAAACCAACAGACAGCATATGACACTTAAAGATAGACTGTGGTATTATTTTGGGTGATGCCAAAGGAATTAGATTCTCCGGAGACCTCTAGGCTCATGCTGACAATGCCAGAGAACAATTCAGCTTAAGAGTTTCAACCTGCAAGAAAGGAAAAAATAAACAACAGCATGAAGAAGGCCATGCAGCCTTCCCCCTGGCAGAAATTCCCATTGTCAAAAAGTCGATCCACTGTTTTTTTGTTGTTCACAGTAACTACTTTCTACTCACACTGTAAGTATTACCATTTTCTTAACATTAACATGCCCCTCTGCTCCACTCTTATGAGACCCCACTTGGAGGTACGGCATCCAGCTCTGGAGCCCTCAGCACAAGACATGGACCTGTGAAAGGGGGACCTGAGGGGGGCCACGAAAATGGTCAGAGGGCTGGAACATCTCTCCTATGAGAGCAGGCTGAGAGAGTTGGGGCTGGTCAGCCTGGAGAAGAGGAGGCTCCGGAGGGACCATATTGTGGCCTTTCAGCACCTAAGGGGGCTTGTAAAAAAGACAGAGAGAGACTTTTTAGCAAGGCCTGTAAGGGGCAATGGTTTTAAACTGAAAGTGGACAAGTCTAGATTGGACATAAGGAAGAAATGTTTTACAATGAGGGTGGTGAGACACTGGAATAGGTTGTCCTAAGAAGTTGTAGATGGCCCATCCTTGGAGGCGTTCAAGGCCAGGCTGGATAGGGCTTTGAGCAACCTGGTCAGGTGGGAGGTGTCCCTGTCCAGACTAGATGATCTTTAAAGACCCCTTCCAACCCAAACCATTCTGTGAATCTATGATTTTTAACTCGGTAGCTTTGCTCCAAAAGAGCAGAGGGCAAGACTAAGAGAGTCCGCAACCACTCAGATCCCAGAGACATTTTAACAGGGAAGCCCAGGGGGTAGAAAAAGAGAGATGCAAGGCTGGAAAGGATCCCCCTGTGCCACGGAACCCAGATCTCTTCCCAGCAGCAGGCAGTGAGCCCAAACAGGTTTAACACAATACCTCCTCCATGAGCTCTGCACTTGAGACAGCAGGATATTTCTCCATACCCGTGAAAAACTTCGAGACCCACAGGAAAAACCCTGAACCAAAAATGAGATACAGAAAAGGGTAGGGGTTTAAAAACAAACAAAAAAAGGTGTCGCTGATGTCCTTTGTTCCTATACTAACAGGAAGCTGAGGAGATATCTAAGAGCCTCTAGCAGTTGGGCACTGAGAAAGCTACATTTTTAGAGCAGAGGGGTGGCCAGGAGTGCAAACCTCCAGGCGTTATTAAACAACTCTCCTCTTGAAAATCACTGCTGCCTTCTTAAAGCCTTGTCCCACACTTTGAACTCTCCACTGTACAGGGCCTCCCTCAGAGACTGGTCTACACGTGGTTTGTAAGAGGATATGAGATCATATTTGTTGCAAGAGAATATTTATTAGGTCACTCCTGAAAGTGCCAGAAGGGGGAGAGAACTGAGGTCACCGAGTGGTGCAGCCTCACTCCCAAAACAGCCAGAGTTTGAACCTGGTCACAGCACATCTCAGAGCAACTCCCTGCTGAGCTACCACCTCTTCTTCACCGAGGAAAGGGTGTTCCTGGGATTTCATCTGTGTCATTATTACTTCCTGCCACCCAAGAGCAGGGTTCTGCTCTTAAATGAGAAGAAAAGAGCATCTAAAGTTCTAATTTCTTATTAAATTGAACAATCTTTTTTTTTTCAAGCTGCTGGTTCTCTTCCAAAGAAGGAAGCAAGCATCTTTGCACTGTTTGAAACCTCGAGAAGAGACTGCTTGGCACACGAGCGATGCAACGTACCCCAAGGTGATACAGCATGGAGGCTTGGGGAAAACAGGGAAACAGGAGAAGGACTGCTGCAGAGCTTCAGCGCCTGAACCAAAAATGCTTTGGCAACTGCCAAACGTGCAGAGTCTTGGCTATCAAATTACACCATAAAACAATTAAGAAGACAGACCGTATTGTGTGCCTGACACGAAGAAGGGAAGTCAAGATCTCCCACCCACTCTGGATACATCCGATCAGTGACCAGCACGCTCATGAAGGTGATAAACAGCAACCGGGACAAAGAAAGATTCACGTTCCAGCTCCTAGTGGTGCTTTAAAAAAAAAACAAACCACCAACCCAATACACCAAGTATGTCGTGCAGAGAGAAATATCATATATCACTACAAGGCTAGCTGACCCACAGACTTGACAAATCTGTTATTGTTTCCATATTTCTTGGCAAAGCAGAGGCATGTTAAAACCATTTTCTTCCTACTTAGTCATCTCCTTGTTGGTTCCAGATCAACATACACTTCCAACAAATCACATCCTACTGAGCAGAAGAAAGCTGTTAGTTTAAAAAGCATTTTTATGACTAGAAGTGAAGCTCTTGAAAAAATGCTTTACATGCTATACCGATTCTACATATATACAGAACATAGTAACCCACCATGGTTGTGTTCTGCTGCTTTAATGGACAATCCTAACAGCAACTTGAGTGCTTTCCAACCTGAAAGTCTTAATATTTCTTTCTGACTTCTGTATTTCCACTTGTCAATCCCCTTTTCAACCAGTAACAGCAGACATTACAAAGAGAAAACCAATAGGTCCACAGTTGTTAATTTATTATTACAGTCAGCAAATCAC